CGGAGGCTGCTGAGCATACAGAAAGCATTTCCTGGACGAAGGATGCATCTGGGTCTACACAGGGCAACAGGACCCTGACTCTCCCTTCCAATGTGCCCTTTGACCCCTCCCCCTAGGGAACACTGAGACACACAGAGCCCCCGACTTGGTGCAATGGACTCGACATATGGAGGTGAGGAACGTCAGAGGCCAAGATGAACAGGTCCTGCGGGGGTGAGAAGCAGGGGTGAGGACTGGCTTGGTGATAAGATGACTTGTTCTAGAGTTCAAAGATCAGGTTAGAATGAAGAGCTACAATGGTGGGGAGGGGGTTGAAACTCAGGTCCTCAGGACGGGGATCGAAAGTCAGCTGGTCAACAGTCTTTTTGTTTGTGGGGCCAGAGGTTAGGGGTGAGAGCGTGAGGATTAGCTGTAACCTGCCTAGGATTCAGAGCCAGGGGGGTAACCTGCCTAGGATTCAGACCCAGGGAGTGGAGTGATGTTCCTGCTCTCAGCTGACCCTCAGGCTGCCCTGGGAAGCCACAAGATCAATTCCTGGGGACCTCAGAGCAGGAATTATGGCTTGCTCATCTTCCTATTCTAGCATCTTTTTATTTTGGGAGAGGTCTTTGCCTTAGGGTGCATGCGCTCATGAGAGACAGAGATGGAGGCAACGAGAGAGAAAGTGAGAAATCACCCCCTTCTGCCCGGAATCTTGGGCACATATGCACACACTCCTGATTTCCAAGCCACCAGGTCTGGGACTCGAACCGTGTGGTCAGCTACATAGGAGTCCAATGACGTAACCACTATGCCATCAGCAGCCACCTCTATTTTAGCATTCAGCATTGCACCTGGTGTAGAGAGAAGTTGAGTGAGTGCTGGCGAATAAAGGACGGCTGAGGGGATGGAGGGGCAGCGGGCCCTACCTTGGCTTTGTCCCATAGGCTGTGAAGACACAACTGCTGGAGCAAGTGCAGGGACAGCTGGCAGGGCTGCTGGATCAAGCCATGTGGGAGGCTGTGCAGTCCTACCCGCCACAAGGGAGACCTCTGCCATCCTCTGGCCCAGATTCTGTGAGCAAGTGAGTCCGAGGAGTTAGGAGGCTGGGGATGGTTGCCGTGGGCTCCTCTGTCACAAGGATCATGAGCCGTAGACACCACATGACTCGCCCTCTGCCAGCTTCGGCGTGATCCTGACTTCAGTCTTGCCCCATCCCTATCACCTCGTCCTCCTGCTGTTGGCCTCCCTCTCTGGGCCCTGCTCTGCCTGGGCCCTTGGCTCCTAAGTATTGGCCTTCTACATGGGCCAGCCCTCTGCCCGCTATCTTCTCCCTTTGGCATCTGACCCGGAACAACCACCTTAATTCAGGAGCCGGGAGCCATCTCTGGGGAAACGTAAAGTTTTCATCATCCGCAAGTCTCTGCTCGAGTAAGTCAGGGGTGAGGACGTGATGGGAAACAAAGAAAGGGTTTCTGTGGAGGTGTGGAAGGGGGGGCAGGACAATCTTTATCACCCCTAGGCTTTAAGTGGTTCATGGGGAGGACTCGGAGAGGGTTTCTAAGGTTCACTTTCCCATATTTGCCCTGTACGTGGGTGTGGAAGAAGGGTCACCAGAGTACGTCCCAGCTACATCCCAGCCCTTACCTGGAGGTCCCGCATCGCTTATCCCCTGCCTACGTCTGTGCAGGGTCTGAGCTAGTCTCCATGACCCTGAGGGCTCACCCACAGTGACATTAGTCCCTGTCCCTCCAGCGAGCTGATGGAGGTGCAGCACTTCCGCACCATCTACCACATGTTCATCGCTGGCCTGTGTGTCTTCATTCTCAGCACCCTCGCCATCGACTTCATTGATGAGGGCAGGTAAGTCCCCTCCCACTCTGAACAGGCCCATGGATCAGGCAGATCCCCTGGTCCCCAGTACCCTGCCTGCTCTTGGCTGGGGAAGTAGTAATCCCCTTGGATTAGTGGACAGTATCATTGTTGCTTCCCACCTAAAACACTCTCTTAGGGACCAGCAGTTAGCGTAATGGTTATGTCGCTGGACTCCCATGTAGCCGACCACGGTTCGAGTCCCGGACCCAGTGGCTTAAACTCACGCCGGGCGTGTGTGCGTGTGTGCCCAAGATCCCAAGAGGAGAATGGAGGAGAAGGGACTGCGGTGTGGCCATCCCCCCTGGGGGGTGATTTCTTGCTTTCTGTTTCTCTGTCTCTCTCTGTCTGTCTGGCAAGCTCATGAGCCCTATAGCAAAAACCTCTCCAAAAAAAAAAAAAATAGATACTGCACTATTATTTTACAATGTTTTTCTTGTTCTTTTATAACCTCTTTTTTCTTTATCCATGATAGAATGTATGTGCACACACATGAGAATGAGAATGAGAGAGAGAGAGAGAGAGAGAGAGAAAGGCACCCTCAACAGGCTCTGCTCACCCCACCATGCCCTTCCTCCATCCTCTGGTGCCCCTTAGATCTTGGGCACTCAAGAGTGTGCCCGGCACATTTCAGGCTGAGCAGGCAGGGATTCGAACCCTTTGCCACGTGGGATGTGGCTTCTCTTGACCAGCACCACAGAGCAGCCCTACGATTTGTTTTTACTCCTCAACAATCCATCTTAGGGCTCTTTCCACATCAGGGCATTGGCTTTTGTTTATTTTTTCTTTGTTTGTTTTTTAAAAAATTATTTATTAATTTTATTTATTCATTCATTTATTTTAATTTGACCAGAGACAGATACAGAGAGAGTGAGAAAGTGAGAAAGCAAGCCACCAGGTCTAGGACTTGAACCTGGGTTGGCCATGTGGCAGTGTCCAGCACCTTAACCACCATGCCACCTGCTGGTCCCCAGGACATTGGTTTTGATGACTGCAGAGTACAGAGGTGCTAGGTATCATTTATTTAGTTCTTTATCAGTGCTCGTTTCCAATTTTTCACCTTGACATTCCATGTGATCTTTTTTTTTTTTGAGAGGTTTTTGCTATAGGGCACGGGCACTCGCCAGACAGAGAGAGAGAGACATAGAGACAGAAAGCGAGAAATCACCCCCCAGGGGGGATGGCCACACCGCAGTCCCTTCTCCTCCATTCTCCTCTCGGATCTTGGGCACGCACACACATGCGCCCGGCGTGAGTTTAAGCCACCGGGTCCGGGATGCGAACCGTGGTCGACTACGTGGGAGTCCAGTAACATAGCCATTACGCTAACTGCTGGTCCCAACATATATTTTTAAAGTAGCAAACTCATCTCATGGCCTAGAGGCGCTATCTTGAACCCTGTAAGGAATGGGGAGCTGCGGGTGGCCTGGTCCTTATGGCAGGCTCAATCCCCGGTGGTTGACTGCGCATTTGCAGTACAGGACACGGGAGCCAGAGAGACACCCTGAGCGCCTGTGGGCTCCAAGTCCTGAGAGGAGAAAGAAGAAGAAGGGATTTCTGTGGCCATCCCACTAGGGAGTGCTTTCTGCTCTCTGCCTTTCCAGAGAGCAAGCACCCTATATAAATTAAAAGAGAGAGATGGGGAGCTCACCACCTTATACCCTCCGCTTTGTCTGCTTTGTCTCCCCTTCCCCCACTCCAAGGCTGTTGCTGGAGTTTGACCTACTGATCTTCAGCTTTGGACAGCTGCCCTTGGCCCTGGTGACGTGGGTCCCTATGTTCCTGTCCACTCTTCTGGCGCCCTACCAGGCCCTCCGGCTGTGGGCCAGGCCCCGGGATGGGGGCGCCTGGACGCTGGGGGCGGGCCTGGGCTGCGTGCTGCTGGCCACCCACACCGCGGTGCTCTGCGCGCTGCCAGTCCACGTGGCAGTAGAGCACCAGCTCCCGCCCGCCTCCCGCTGCATCCTGGTCTTTGAGCAGGTGAGGGGGGAGCCCTGTGGCGCTGTAGGAGAGACTCGCAGGACCAAGGACGGGCCGGGTGGGGTCATCTCTGCAGCGGGTGAGCCTCCAAAGAGGGGCGGGGCCCACGCTCGTGAGGGTGCTTAACACCATATTGGCGGGGGCGGAGTTAGTTCCCCGGGATCTGGGGGAACCAGCAGGCTCTAATAAAAGTAAACGGAAGACGCGTGGCGCTAGGCAACTAGAGCTGACAGTAGTCACGGAAGTGGGCTGGACGGAAACCCCGCCCTGCTTCTCTCCTTTACCCCTTAAGCCCAAAGGCAGGCGAGCTGAGGAAGAAAAAGTGTAGGCTTTGGCAAGACTGCCTGGCTCTCTGTGGTCTAAAGGAGCTCAGAGAGGTTAAGCGGTTTGCTCAAAGTCACACAGCAACTCTGCCTCCCTTCCACTCCACCTCAGGTCAGGCTTCTGATGAAAAGCTACTCCTTCATGCGAGAGTCTTTGCCCAGGACCCTGCATGCCAGAGGAGGTGAGGCCTCACCTGTCCTGAACTCAGCCCCCTTGGCTGGTTGAATGACGAGGGCATTACAAGATCTGCATGAAGTCCTTCCCTAAGCCTACCTTGCACCCAGGCACGGCTCTGGCCTCCAACAGGACTCTAGGGGCATTCGCAGGTCCTATTTGAGAGGTGGCCCTTCTGTCACCCAGGTCGTTTGGCTCTCATATTTCCAGGCTTGGCCTAGAATGACCCACCCCAGGTATGAGAACGCAGCATTAGGAAGCCGGGGGACGGGGAATGGGTTGGATCACATGCCAGTCCCAAAGGAAGCTGGGACCACAGCAGGGCCCGCACCAGAAAATGGAGTGCCCCGAATGGGAGCACAGGAGGAACGCTGAAGAGCAGGCCTAGGCTAGCAGATAGCATGGTGGTTAAGGTGCTAGATCCCATATGGCCAACTCATGGTTCAAGTCTCAGAGCCAGTAGCTTGAAAACCACGTTGGGTACATGTGTCTGTGTGCCCAAAATCCGGAGAGGAGAACGGAGGAGAGAGGATGGTGGCATGGCCATTCCCCAGGGGAGGCGGCTTCTCATTTTCCCTCTCTCACTATCTGTCTGTCTCTCTCCAGCGAGTGCACACACCCTATGGCAAAAAAATCTAAAAAAAAAAAAAAAAAAATTGAGGCTCAGCTTCTGCCATTCTCTCCTCAGCCCCACATCCAGCCCCACATCCAGCCTGCTCCCGGTCCCTCCACCTCTGTCTCAGCCCCCTTCCACCGCAGCCCCACCACCCTCCTCAGCAGCCCTCTCACCTGCCCTCTGCCCCCTCCCTCCCTGATTCACCTTCTCATTCCACCTCAGGTGAGGGGGCCCAGGCCCCCAGTTTCTCCAGCTACCTCTACTTCCTCTTCTGCCCCACACTCATCTACAGGGAGACGTACCCCAGGTGAGATCCTGCCGCCTTCTTTTCCCAAAAGACCAGACCCACAAAGCCCCAACCTTTTTCCTTTCTTCTCTCTGAGGTCTTTAGTCTCACCTCTGGCACTAGCCTGAGGTGCCACCTCGGGAGGCATCCCATAATAACAATGGAAAATAAGTGGCAGGTAGGCTGCCCTTCTCTCTGCCCGGCCCATGATGCTGCTACGATGACCAGCTGTCCTAGCTTGCCCAGGACTGTCCTTACTTTGGTACTGAAAATCCTGTGCATATCAGAAAACTCCAGATAGTCGCTGTAGTTACACTCAAGCTAGAAATCCGTTTCCCATCTCCGTTATGGGAAGTCCAAAGTGCTCTAGATCCCACCTCCCCAGATATTCCTCCCAATTAAGGGCGTTGCGGAGAAAGGGTCCCAGAAAGGGTCTCCAGGTCCACAGGCCTGGCCTGAGCAGGGAGCAACATGGAAGGATGACAAACATATTGTCCCTTTGCTGCTGCAGGACACCCAGCGTCAGGTGGAATTATGTGGCCAAGAACTTTGCTCAGGTCAGCAGATGGGGCAGGAGGTGGAGCACCTGTGATTCCTGGAGGCTGAGGGGCCATTCCTGAGAAAGGGGTGGGAAGGCCTGGGAGGAGGTCAGAGGGAATACTAAGGGAAAGGGGTCCAATTCCAGAGTGAAGGGGCCCTGCTAGTGCCCCGTTTCCAAGCTGTGCACCCCCACTCCCTCTCCAGGCCCTGGGCTGTGTGCTCTACGCCTGCTTCATCCTGGGTCGCCTCTGTGTTCCTGTCTTTGCCAACATGAGCCGGGAGCCTTTCAGCACCCGGGCCCTGGTGCTGTCTGTCCTGCATGCCACGTTGCCAGGTAAGGCCAAACAAGGCGGGCTGCAGAGGGTAGGGCCCTGGGGAGGGCTTATCAGGGAAGGCCCAGGCCTTTCCTTCCTTCAGCTGCAACACCTTGTGTCTCTGAACCTCCTCTCACATCTGTCCCCTCGCATCAGTGCACATCGCCGCAGTGTCTCTCCCCTTTTTTTTAAAAAAGAATTATTTAATTTTATTCATTCATTCATTTTATTTTTTAATTTGACCAGAAAGACACAGAGAGAGAGAGAGAATGAGAGAGGGAAAGTGAGAAAAGCAAGCCACCAGGTCCGAGACTTGAAATGTGTTCAGCCATGTGGGAGTCCAGCGCCCTTATCCACCACGCCACCTGCCGGCTCCCGTCTCTCCCCTTTTCTGCTCTCTTATTTAAAAAACGGAAGTGAGAAAAAATGAAAATCAGATTTTTCCATCGCTGGCAATTCCAGATAAGACTTGAACTCTGGTCTGGCATTCAAGGCCCCTTCTCTTACAGCTTCAGCCTGTCTTTTCATGCCACCACAAGCGCAGCCATCCCCTTAGTACATGCATTTCCATACCTCTGGGCCCTAGCTCACACTGGCCCCTGAGCTCGAATGCCCTGTCCCAGTGTGGAACTTAGTTCCTTCTTGGAGGCCCACTGCTGAGATGCCCTCTCCTCTGAGAAGCCTTCTTTTTTAGCCCTCAGTTACCTACCACGACCCATCTCTTGCTCTGTACTCCCAAGCCTATCGGTGGCCACCACATTTAGTTCCCATTACGTTTGGCCTTGACACCTGGCTGGACATGTCTCTCTGTCCACCTGACTATCTCTGTGCGCGCTGTTCTCTTCAGCCACCGTGTAACTTCCGTAGCCAGAGGCTTGGACATTCATGTTGGTATCCCCAGCAGAGTAGAATGAACAAATGCATGCATGTGTAATGCCGGGAGGGGCTCTCAGACCCGGAGAGGAGCCACCTGGGGGAGTCCAGGTGGGCCAGCCCGACCTGCAGCCCCTTGTCCCCACCACCAGGCATCTTCATGCTGCTGCTCATCTTCTTTGCCTTCCTCCACTGCTGGCTCAACGCCTTCGCAGAGATGCTACGATTTGGAGACAGGATGTTCTACCGGGTGGGGCCTGCGCCTGGGCCAGTTGGGAGCTGGAGGCAGGGAGGGCGAGGGAAGGATCGGGGAAGTTATGTTGGTTGTCACCTCCGCTGTGCTGGCTACCTCCCATGGAGAGAACTGCGGTGCTCGGGGTGTCAGTCACCTGCTTCTGTGCAGACTGTGCTCAGGAATCTTCTGAGAGGGGGACTAGGAAGGAGAGAGGGCCAGGGCCCAGGTCCTGAAGAGGGAGCTGGGAGGGTGCTAGGAGCCAGTGCTCCCGGGAGAACACTGGGCCAGGACACGGGCAGAGCGGTGGGAATGGTGTGGAGAAACCAGAGCCTGAGGTGACCAGCCACTTCCTGCTCCCTGAGCCCACTCCTTCCCCAGGACTGGTGGAACTCAACGTCCTTCTCCAACTACTACCGCACTTGGAACGTGGTGGTCCACGACTGGCTGTACAGCTACGTGTATCAGGATGGGCTGTGGGTACGGGCTCCGCACACCCCGTCGGCTCCCGGTTGGTTATAGGAGGCTGCCCAGGCGTCCTTGCCCTCCCTCCTTCGGCACCACCCATCTTTCCCAGACCTAGGGGCCCTTTTGACTTCAGCTGTCCTATTCTATTCAACTCAGTGGTGGGAAGTCCTTATGGCCTAACTTCCTTCCTTCTTTGTCTTTAATGCCACCTCCTCCACAGGGTATTTCCCTCCTCCTTAGCATTTTTTTAAAAAAATATTTATTTATTTAATTGTATTCATTATTATTATTTATTTTTTAATTTGACCAGAGAGAGAGAGAGAGAAAGAAAAAGTGAGAAAGCAAACTGCCAGGTCTGGGACTCGAACCACAGTTGACCATGTGGGAATCCAGTGCTTCAACCACCACACCACCTCCTGGCCCTGCCTCCTTCATCTTTTAGGGAATATGCATATAGCAGTCTTCCATTGCCAAAGGTTTTTGCATGCATTTAGCTGGCATAGTAACCCTGAGAAGTCAATATTATTATATAAATTGTTGCCAAGGCCCACTGGGCTGGTAAAATGCTTTTAGATAAGATTGTCAGTCCTTCTCACCCCAGACCCCATGTTCTTTCCATTGCACCACACTCCCTCTTGGCTTTGTTAAAGAGGGACTCTTCATGGAGGGGCTGAGGGGGATTTACTCCCCACTCTTCTTCTCACCCCGCCAGCTGGTGGGTGGCAGGGCCCGAGGCGCAGCCATGCTGGGTGTGTTCCTGGTCTCTGCAGTAGTCCATGAGTACATCTTCTGCTTCGTCCTGGGGTTCTTCTACCCTGTCATGCTGATGCTCTTCCTTGTCTTTGGAGGTGAGCTTGGGCTTGGTACCACTGGAGGGGAGCCAGCCAGATGGAGGAGGCCTGGCTCCTGCTTCTGGAGGTCCCACCAATGGGGGGGAGCTGTTGAGCCTAAAAAGTGGGGGTGGGGAGGGACTTGGGAGCAGAGAGGGGAACAGCAAAGGGGAATCCTAGAGGATGTGAGAGAGGGTTTCTGATTGGAAGAGAACATCCCAGCAAGGTATTCATAGAGGGAGAAAACTGGGATGAGGTTGGGAGGTTCGGTAGGAGATCCAGGCTACTGAAGTGTAAGCTGAGGAGTCCTGGTTTGCATGAGCCAGGAAGGCCTCCATGCGTGCCTGCAGCTGGGTTCAAGATCTCCCCCGATGGAGCCTTCCTTTCCGTCTTGTCCCAGTACCCTGGGATGCAAGGGAAGCCAGAGCAAGGCACAGATACCTGGGGCTGGGCTGACAGGCTTTCCCCCTGCACTAGGGCTGCTGAACTTCACGATGCATGACCAGCACACGGGCCCGGCGTGGAACGTGCTGATGTGGACCTTGCTTTTTCTGGGCCAGGGTATCCAGGTCAGCCTGTACTGCCAGGAGTGGTATGCACGGAGGCACTGCCCCCTGCCCCAGGTAAGACGGTCCTCACCTGGCTCCTTGTCCAGGGAACACATCTCCCCTTCCCAAAAGCCAGTCTCCTCTTTTGCCACAGTTCAACAGCTATTACGGGGAACAGCAGTTGGCGTAATAGCTATGTCGCTGGACTTCCGTGTAGTCAACCACGGTTCAAGTCCCGGACCCGGTGGCTTAAACACAAACCGGGTGCGTGTGTGTGCATGCCCAAGATACCGAGAGGAGAAAGGAGGAGAAGAGATTGCAGCATGGCCATCCCCCCGGGGGTGATTTCTCACTTTCTATCTCTCTGTCTCTTGTCTTTCTGGCGAGCACACGTACCCTATAGCAAAAACCTCTTCCAAAAAAAAAACAAAAAACAAAAACAGTTATTATAGTCAGGGGCCAGGCCCAGCTTGGGGGTGATAAGCTCCCGTACCTTCGATGCACAGGGTGGGTCATCTGGAGAGGCCTCATATACAATTTCCTCTTTTCTGTCACAGACAACCTTCTGGGGACTGGTGACACCTCGATCTTGGTCCTGTCATACCTAGAGGCCAGGGCACTCTCACTGCCCACATGATGCCACTACGTTCTCTGCCTGCAAAGGCTGGGACCAGGGCTTCTTTCTGCACTCCGAAACCTGGCTCTGTGTCAACGGGGCCTGCACACAAGCCCCCACCTGGGAAGTGCAGAGGCTGAGGTCTGTGGACCTGCTGGTGCGAAGCACAGACTCAGCAGGGGTGACTCTTGAGCCTCTACCCCCAGAGATTGGAAACAGGATATCCTCCCACCCCATGGCTGTTCAGACCTGGGAAAACTCGAGGGGATTTGCAGATTTGGTGATTATAGGGGGATTTGGAGGGGCCACCAAGGTTTGAGAAGGTTCGAGTTCGACAATAAACTCTGTCTCCCTTTTTATTCATTCGTTATTCCTTCATTCACCTTTTGTGGAAAGTCTACTTTGTGACAGGCATTGTTGAAGAGGCATGCTCGCAGAGGCCGGGCCAAGGCAGAAAGGGCGGAGAATCCTGGGTGACGTGCCGCCTTACCTCCTCCGCGCTACCTCCTTCTCTGGAAACCTGGCCTCAGCCCCCTTCCACCCCTTCTCAGCTCACTTTCCATGCCCCTTTAATCCCACTGCTCTCGGTGACCTCGAGCACATGTTGACAGGGCACGGATAAGACCTCCTTTCCCTTATCAGACCCAGGAAAAGACTCCTATACAAACCTAAGGCAAAGCTTTTAAATTCATAAGCCTCCATTTTTGTTGTTGTTTGTTTGTTTTTCGGGTTTTTGCTATAGGGTGTGTGTGCTCACCAGAGAGAGACAGTGAGAGGGAAACTGAGAGATCACTCCCAACCAGGGATGGCCATGTCATGATCCCTTCTCCTCCATTCTCCTCCTGGGACTTTGGGCGCGCATACACACACACCCAGCATGATTTTTCAAGCTGCCAGGTCTTGGACTTGAACCACAGTCAACCATATAGGTGTCCACGCCACCTGCAGGTCCCATGAGCTTCAGTTTTCACAGCTATAAAGTGAACATTAAAATTAAGAGTGTAGGGACCAGCACATAATGTAATGGTTACATCTCTGGACTCCCACATAATCGACTGCGGTTTGAGTCCCAGACCCAGCAGCTTAAAATTAATGCCCATGCGCATGCATGCCCAAAATCCTAAGAGGAGAATGGAAGAGAAGGGATTGCTGTGTGGCCATCCACCCTGGGGGTAGGGAGGTGATTTCTTGCTTTCTGTCTCTCTGTCTCTGTCTCTCCAGTGAGTACATACACTCTATAGCAAAAATCTCTCTTAGAAAAAAAAAATAAGAGTGTATGGAGCCAGCAGATAGTGTAGTGGTTAGAGTGCTAAATTCCCACATGACTGACTGCAGTTCAAATCCTGGATCTGGCAGCTTGCTTTCTCACTTTTCCTCTCTCTCTGGTGAGTGCATGTGCTCTGTAGAACATTAAATAATAATAATAAACAATAATAATTATTTTTAAAAATTAAGAGTGTCTTAACTACATGGAGAAAGAAGGTAAAAATATTTGTATTTAGAACTGTTCCACAAACCAGACTGTGTGGTCTGTCCTCCTTACATAGACTACTGTGTAACTTGACTCTGGAGAGAAATGTGGGTAAGGAAAAGAGGGTAAGGACTATTATGAATAATGCTGCCATGAACACTTGTGTTGAAGTTTCTGTGTAGACACGTTTTCATTTCTTACATGAAAAGAGTGCATCAGGGAACCAGCAGTTAGCGTAATGGCTATGTAGCTGGACTCCCACGTAGTCGACTGCGGTTCGCGTCCCGGACCCGGTGGCTTAAAACCCACGCCGGGCGTGTGTGCGTGCGTGCCCAAGATCCGGAGAGGAGAATGGAGGAGAAGGGACTGCGGCGTGGCCATCCCCTCTGGGGGGTGATTTCTCGCTTTCTGTCTCTCTGTCTCTGTCTGTCTGGCGAGCGCACGCACCCTATAGTGAAAAACCTCTCAAAA